TTGTGCACGGCCCAATAATTATATTGATTGTTGTTAAGAGGCGAAGGTGCTGTAGTGGCCAGTGGCACGCTTACTACACTCCTGGTCCCGAGATCAAATCCTCCCGTTCCTTGCACAAATCGAATCTGATACCAATTTATCGCTCCCGGAGGGTAGGAGAGTCGGACGGCAGCCAAACCAAGTCTTCTACCCTCCGGGATCGATAAATTGGTATCAGATTCGATTTGTGGCAAGGATAAAACACTGACTTGTACATCGGCTGGCCCCGCAAGTCATTGTATAGGCCACATCGCATTCAATAAGCCACTACGATTCTGAATGGAAGTAGAATGCGTGCCGCATCCCACAAAGGGATTGATCAACGGCGAAGACTTTATCCTTTATCCTTTTTATGATTTAATTCACTTTACGACACTTTACTGTTTGGTTCTACTCTAACACCAGCAGTTATCAATCACTAATATATAATAATTATGTTGTACATATCATTGAAGGATAACACATAACATCGCACAGTTGTAGTCAATATTTGATTAATAATTTTAGGGTAGATTCCGACTTTCCGATGCCGAAAGTTCGTGACAGCTTTGCCCATCAGTTTGCGCTGGAGGGTGTTGATACTGAAGTTTGTGATCAAGGTTTGTTCCTCATTATAACTTCAAACATAGAAGCCCGAATGAAAATTCGGAATTCACTAACTTCAGAAACAACTTGCTCTTCTAGTTAACTGAGCGATCACGGCATATCATTTTCATAAATACAGAATCCGATCATTCCAAAAATCTGCTGCAATTGGCGCCTTCGAGGAAATATCGTCGTGAAGAACCACACTTCCGGCATATCGGTAGTATCTCACTAAGAAACAGTATTTCACATCTTCTTGAGTGAGTCCAATTTTTCGGTCTCAGTCCTATTTCACTTTACTTTATTGTATTGTTCTACTTCTCTTCCTCCTCTTTCGGTGGCCAGCGGGAGGAGGGAGGGGCAAATGCATTATTTTGCTTGTAGACCCATGTCCCTCTAAACTCCCTGCTCGACGAATTCTAAGGGTATATCGGGAAGAAGATGAGAGGGCGCGGTCGTGTTGAGAGAGTTTCCGCATACCCATTAGGGCATTACCATTGCGGCTTCGCATAAGAGTTCTTTTGTAGATAAAGATATGTAGGTGAGGGTTCATTTGAAGCTAAAAATATGTTAGAGAGGATGGAAAAGGCAACGGCATATCCAGTCTTGTACCTCTTTTCCATTTTTTTTTCTTTAC